AAAACCGTCAAATATAACAAGAAGAGACCCAACAAAGGTGGGTTTTTCGGCTATACAGGTAGGGTTAAGAAGTTAAGGTTTACTGTAAACGGTATCTTACGTAGAAGGACAACATGGGAATGACGGAACTCACAGTTCTGCAGGTCGGGACACATTCTGGGGATCGTAGCCGTAGAAGCTCCGACGACTGGCCCTGAGCCATGCATTACCCAAAGGACCCAAAGTAGTTCCTTTTTGGGTTCGTATATAGAATCATATAAGGTAATCCCAAAAAGGAACTACTATGGGGCCTCTGGGTAGCCTCACAGATCCTTCCGCGAACTGAGGGAATCTCGCAAAGGCGGCCGAAGCGGTCAACGCTGCCCAGCTAGAGCTTTGCGTTGTAGCTGAAGATATTGTGCACGCAGTGTCCGCAATCTGCACATGTTGCCAGATTCGGGTTTCATCAACATCACTTTACTTTATGTCTTTACGGGTATCATGCTGCAAGACTGCGGGGGTCTTTGACGCACAGCCACATCCAGGAATCCAACTCGAGAATCTTCAAACTTTCCCCGATGTTGAGCCAATCTCCAATGCAGTCCTTCAGAATTCGGGTTTTTTCGCACTCTTTGTGGACACCACCCGTGTCTTGCTAAACCTCTAGGGTGACAATCATCAGAGCCGTTAAACTTGAAATCCCTTGCCACCATTGGGAGGTTTTGCCGGAGCCGAAATCATAGCAGCCACATGCCAGTCCGACACTCGTCTACACTGACACCAGACCCCCGAAAGTTTTTGTCATGCACACAAGGAGCACCAACCTCGTGACAAACGCAGTCACTATCGCCGCCTGCTGTGTCATCACCACCGCCCCCACCACGGTCATTGTCCACACTGCCGCCCGAGAAATGATGATCTATAAATGCACAACCTGCTCAGCATCCTCCCCAACACAAACTGCAACCACGATCGCGAACACGGTGACTATCATCACCGCCACCAAAGACAGCATCAACTTCATCATTGCTATTGCCGTCACCAGCATCAGCTGAGCCACAGCATTGTCACCCTCATCCTCAGTATCATGCTTTCATTTCCATGACGAAGGATGTCCACAATCGCCAGAATTATCAGCATTTTGTCAATATCGGAGGCATTCCGTTCATCTCAACTCACATCATCAACATCCCCGTTACCAGTTATACGTGGAACAGCGGTGCTTGAAAGCTTGTCTTGCATTGCAAAGATCAAAGGGAAGATCCCTGGAGGACGAATCGCTGAATATCCTCGCAGCGAGAGCTGGGATGCCCATCCCCGAAGCCAAGGACCGGGAATGGAGTCAGGATCTGGGATTATTCAGGGTTGAGTTCTTGCAGGCTTCGCGTTTACAGTTCTGAACCGCACCTGAATCCTGTCAAGATCTGCAAAGGCATGAAGCCCAACAGCAAGGTAACTACGAGCATAGCAGGGATTTGTACCAGCAATGCACAGAATAGTGAAATCTGAAGCCCTAGCCTTAGCACGCTCCATGAGCTGAGACCAGGCTTCGCAAGAAGCTCTCGCAGTGTCAACCGCTGCTTGACTTGTTTAGAGGCTCGATCAGAGGCAGTTCTGGGCCAGGTTTGTTCTCGCTTAGGGTATCTAGGTTTAGGATTCACTAGGCTCTCAGGTTTGGGGGTCAAGTGATGTGTCATGCCATACTAGTTGTTTTCCTGGACCGGCTATGTTTTTGCGTTCTAGTAAACGCAGCGCCATGCGAGATGCTGCCATCTGCTACATTTTATATCCGTTCTATGCACAGACCTGGAAACTATGGTGTTAAGATTTCTTCTGAAGTGTGGTGTTTGTTGAAGGTTGTTCTGTGTGGTAGGCAAAAGCATGTCCCTAAGAGAATGCTGGAGCGACGCTTCGATTCGCTCAGCGAGCCGATGCAGAACCACATTTCGGCACATGGAGCGTACTTTGATTGACTTCTACACTGCGCGCGCAGTACATTGTGCACGTATTCGCGACGCAAACATGGCTCATCCTTGCGCGGTCCTTGCAACGCGGCAAATGCGGCAAGCACCCGGAACTTTGCGGAGGGGTTGATGACTCGACTGTTTTGCGTGTGTCGGGTGGACCGTGAAGCAGCTGGCGGCGTGCGGCTCGAGCCTGGGACAGCAGCAACACGCGGGAGACGCGAGGGGAGCAAGGTGGCGAAATGCATCTCGAACGCGCGCTCGGGTGCCATGCCGCTGCCAGCCTCGGAGGCGGTTGCCTGGCTGAACTCCAGCATCTTCGGCCGCGGAAGCATCCCGGGGCAACCCTGTACCGCGAGATGGCTCGCGGTTCGCGCATGTCGTGCGAATGCGCTGCGCGCTTGTGCGATAGGTGGCTCTGCACACTCTGGCTCGATCGCTGGATTCCGACAGCATGACGCAAAAGCCTTCGAGAATGTGCCGCTTTTTTTGTATGATACTGTACACTTGCAGTGTTACGAAGGCTCACTGCTCGTCCGGGTCATGGACGGGCTGGATGATGAACTCTGTAGCCCCCAAGTCCCCAAGGCATCGCGGGTCTGTCTCTGGAATGGGTGCCCACTTTTCAAGGTACGGAAGGTGTTTGCTTTCCAACCTCACTCAGACCTGCCGAAAGCCTCTGGGAAACCTTGCAAACCTTCCAACCTTATCAAAATCTAGACACTGTCCTCTTGCCTTTGTTATCACTCGAGCGTGACCTAGCTGGCCACACACGGAAAACAGTTACATGTATGTTCATACCCGATGTGTAAAGGCCAATACTCTAAAATATGTATGTATATCTATTTGTATGTTTATATATATAGTGTTATTCCACGGTGCTACAACATCACCATCTCAAGTGCGGGGAACCTCGCAAGAGTCCCATAACAAGAACCAGGAGTCGTCTACCGACAGGCTTGGTCTCACTGCCATATAAAAGACTTCGCTCCACTGTCGCCCATCGTTAAAGCCGAGGACATCAATGAGGTTGGGGAGCCCCAACGCTAGAACAGTCACGCCTTCCAGATACCAAGCCATAACTCTAACTAGCAATCCTCGGGGCTTCCAATATCCCTTATAATTTATGAATATTCCGTAAATAATGTGTATGGATTCTACTAAAACTGATTTAATAAGGTACATACATTAATCAAGGGATATTGGAGTCTTGGGGCAAGTTAAGGTAAAAGCCGCTGCTCCGGCACCCGTCCTCGTGGCCGCCCGTCCACCGGCACCTACCGCTGCGGCCGCCGCTGCAGTTGCCTGTCATGTCAGATGGGGATGGTTCCCGGAGGGTCCATGTGCCGAACTAGTATATACGTTGGGGCAACTACCCACATAGGGACTGCTTTGAAGCCATACTATTTGGGTACATGGACCCTGAGGGCTGTGTATTGGGAGATCACACAGCCTTTGCGTTAGAGCCACGAGATGTATTTAAATCTGCTCTTCGTAGCATAGTACAGGGAGGAGAGAGCCGCGAAGATACTCGCAGTTTGTTAGATGTTTCGACGAGTCAGACGTTCTAGTTCCTTTTGTGGAGCCAAGGCGCCACTACCGCCAGGCAGCTGCAATCTGGTGCTGCAGGGAACGGCCGGGGAGCTTGACCTCGGCTATCATCAAAACGGACATACACAGAACCTCCCCGAATCGCTTCCTCCTTGTCTGGATTCCCTGGAATCGAACATATTCTGGCAAGGAGTCGACGTCCTGACAACTAGAAAATCTCACAGCATGGGCTCACCCGGAGACTCCAGTATCCCTTAATTAAGGAATATTCCTTATAAATCATATTAGGGATCCTACCATAAATTCAGGTATATTCCTTACTTAAGGGATATTGGAGTCTCTGGGCATAGAGCGCCTGCCAGGCATCGCCCAGACACGTGAAGCAGCGCCTGCAGCATGCCTCAAAGGGGGATGGGCATGCGAGGCTTCTTGTACGGGGCACCTACCGCCGTATGCGTGCTTCAAGGCATGACCCCAAGCGATGCATGACTTCATGCGGTGCCTTATGCTTATCACCCGAACTCGGGTGAGGGGTCAGTTTATCGTCGAAACTTCGAGGAAGTTTGTCCTGTGATGTCCTGTGTTTCCCCGTTCGCCGACTGAAAGCTCAAGCCCTCATCAGCCAAACTTGAAGTTCAAACCCTATGTGAACAGCAAGCCTTAAAAGTCAAATCCAGAATCACGACGCCAAACCCCGAAGCCTTCAACTTGAGGAGTTGTTAGTTGTCAGCGAAGTCGTCGAACCTACAGCTGCAGACCTTGCCAGGCTTGTCCGAGTGTGAGTGTCAAACTCTAAAACCCGCGTTAGTAACGGTAGCAAAGGTAGCAAACTGAGACCATGAAGCCGTGCGTGGGTTGATCCAGTGTGCGAGTCGGAAACCCCAAACCCCCAACCGCTCAGAATATTGGACCCCTACCCTATAATGGGCCATATAATGGGTATATAAAGGCTATATTAAGGGTATACACCTAGGGGTCCCCATCCTAAACCCTAAACCCTAAACCCTTAAGAGTATACACCTAGGGGTCCTTATTAAGGGTCCCAAACCCCCAAGGCAGTGGCAGAGGCCGCACCGGCGCTGCGAGAGCAAACGCCAAAGGTGAGGGCCTCCAAATTCCCCCCTTTTTTGGTTTAAGGGCCATGGGTTTAGGGTTTAGGATGAATCCATAGGCTCCACAGTAGTTCCTTTTTGGGGTGAACCCTGTAAGTTAATCCCAAAAAGGAGCTACTATGGAGCCTGTGGGTGGGGCTTTAGGGTTTAGGGATGTTCAGGGTTTTGGGGCTCAGGGTTCCGAGTGAGCTTCCCTTGCATCTCCCAGGCCGCCACCAACTTGAGATCCCCAAAGCTTCTGAATTCAGCTTGGGAAGTCTGTAGCTTTGTATATGTCATCTCCAGGAAATTGGCCGAGAAATTCGGGTTTCATCCCCACTCCGCAAGCCAGATTCGGCTTTACAGATCGCCCTTCGCAAGGGTGTGGAATTCGTAGAGGCCGAGCCGTGAAGCCATGGAGTTTCTGTGGGGCTTACCTGCCAATGCTGCGGTTCAAGGTCTTCTTTATGCTGTGGCGTTCTTGATATTGCACATGCTTCTGACAGCACGGGATGTTGGATCGTTTGCGTTGTGGTTGGCAGACCAGTTTGCACCGAAGCAGCCGGATCGCTGGGATGGCAGACTGGCCACGGCCCTCGCGGAGACACGAAAAGCCAACTGGCTGATGTTTTCGAGATGCGCCTCCTTTTTCACAGCTGGCGGTATGTCGTACTGGATTCACACCTTCTACGTCCACAGTCATCCAACGCTGGCGGAAGGCAGCGTCTTTGCCGCGGTATCCTGCACATACGTGCTCTTCCTGGCCACTGCGACCCGCGCCGTGGATCTGACGGCAGAGCGAGTGCGAGCGTGTTGCTCCTTCTTCTACTGTAGCATGATGGTATGCTTTTTGGCTGTACCCTTTGCGCGGGGTCTGCATCTCGATATTAACGTGATGGTAGTCCAGCTGACCTCTTGCCGCTTTATCCTCTCAGCAGTCGCCACTGACACCAAGCTGCCTCCAGGTCTGCATTGGAAACACTTTCACTTTTTTCCTGACTACAAAGCCTCATGTTGCGATTCTGCTCTGCTCTGAAGGTCCGCACCTTGGCAGGTGCTGCTGACTGCGGGTCAGCTGCTTGTTTGGCACTATCCTTTCAGTTGGCCAGACTAGCGCTAAACCCTAGACCCTAATTGTTCTCGCCTGTCGCAGTTTTCCAGCTCCTTGAGGTGGTAAACATGACTGCGTAATGAGTTGGTCGAAGATAGAGCCAGTGAAGCCGTTCTCCACCTGTAGTCAACATATGGGCATTTCTGAAAATTAGGGGTACTTTATTCTGAGGCCCTTATAATAAGGATCCTATTCAGGGTACTATATGAGGGTCCCTAAAACCAAAGACCCGACAATCCTAAACCCTAAACCCTGGTTCTTTTTTAGGGTCACCTATTTTTGGAAACTCCCATACGGCGCAATGCAAGCATGTCCTTCCGTCGGTCCAGCTCTTGGCAACGATCCATCATGTGCCACACTTAGGGGTACTCAGACATATATGTTTTAATTGTTGGTTCCTTTACGTAATCCCCCAAAAAAGCTGCAATTGCATCTTGTTTTGCTATAGGGGTCTAAGTTCAGTAGAGCATATGTGTACGATTTCAAACCTGTCGGGCGCAGGGGCCTGCGGGCTTTAAGCCAGGACCTGAAACCTGAAACCAGATCCTCAGATGCCCCATGCATGGCGAGCTCCTTCATAGCTGGCCTACGCAACAGATCCGACAGCATCTAAACCATAGCCTACATGACCTTACTGCCACCTAAAGTCTCTAAAGCCTAAATCCTCCAAATCCAAACCATTCTGAAAAGGCTTTTCGCAAAGCCAAACCTAAACCCTAAACCCCTATAAACCCTAAAGCGGCTTTCCTCAGGCTTTGGGCTGATTTCATGGCCCCCGGCGGCCTGAACCATCCGGGCTTCCCGGCCCCAGTTTGCTTTCCTATCTTGCTCGCCACGTGCGTGCGTGCGTGTGTGTCATATATCATATATCTGCACATTAATACTGTCGGTATGCATGCATGCATTATGCATACGCATATGCATGCATGCATGCATTGCACGCATGTATGTAGCGACTATTTATGAGTATATGAGGCCTGCAGTTGTTGTTGGTCTATGTCAATGCACACACACACACACGTTAATCGCCCGCGCTTTCCAGTTAACTGGCTTTCCGCATGCTTGATTCAGTATGCTTTCACGGCCTTCACTGACTGAACTAGTTTGAGATTTACTGTGATCGGCACCTGTTTCGGCATGCACACCTGTGCTGTATCTAGATACAGGATAAGCTGGGCTGCTTGTAGTGGGTTTCTGATCACATCCGGAGCGGCTGAAAGAGTGGCTGAAAGACGAGAACTACAACACGGCAGGTTTTTGCTGAGTGCGAGAGAGAATCAAGCTCGTAAGTTTGTGAAGCTTGGATGTGCAGCTTGTTACAGAACTGTGTGTGCGAACCATCGGCAAATTCGATCAAAGCCAAATTCCCTTCTGGAGTCTGGGTTCTTGTTAAGGGACTGAATTTAGACTACCATAATTAATCAGGCAGCGATATTGTTGCTATAGTTCCCTATTGTGGTAATCTTAGCTTAGATTCCTTAACCTGAACCCTAAACCCTAAGCCCCTCTATAGATCTCTCACAGGAGCCCCCAAGAAATCCCAACTTAGATTAAACTCCTTATAACAAGACTCCAGGCTTTTGCGTCTTTCTGCAGCTCGTTGCTCTGGGCCTGACAATCGTTTTATCCTGGGTGCTCGAGACGGGCGTTCGTGCGACTCTCTGTGCCCAATTCCTACACTCCGACGCAGAGTCTTTGATGTCAAGCTTCCGCAGAATGCTGCGTGGGGTTTGTGATGGAGAGGTGCTGCGCCTTGGCAGTTATAGTCATGATACCATATGTCGCAGAAAATGGTTTTGTCCAGAGCCCGGACAGGCTGCGAACAAACACAACCTGCGCAATTTACACTTGAGGAGGTCATGCGTCACGCATTGAAGCTAATTTGAGGCACAAGCCAAAGTAAGCTGAACTGCATTCATGAAACCTATGTAGACGTGCGGAACCCGCGGCGTTGTCGGGACATGTTTATTGGGTTCGCGATACTGTAGACATACCATAGCATTGGCGTCATCCCCAAAGTCTTAATTGCCGCAAAGGGGAGCGACGACCAAGGTTATGATGCCAGTTGGCACGCTGATGTGGCGGTGTTGGTCACGATGCCGATAACTGTGGGAATGATGATCACGCTGACTTCTGTTGCTTTGACACATGCGAACGAAAGATGATGTTGCTTAAGGGTGATGTCGGTTGGCCGTGCTGCCATGTGCACAAGCATCGCGGTCGTTTCTGGCTTATGCTGTATGCTTGCGGTCGTGGTTGCGTGCCCCAGGCTTGACAGCAACCTCCGGGTTCACAGTGTCTCAGATTGTTTGAAGCAGCTTGGCCAAACATTGCACTTGGTTTCGGCTTCTTGCTGACCCACACAGGTGATGATCTGCTGTACTACCGACCTTCGCATCATTCATTGGTTCGATAGCGTGTTGCTGCTGCAAGAGATATTTACATGCAAAAGCGGGCACTGTTCGCTCTTACTCAGTCAGTTCGGAAACCCTCATGCGACTTTCGTCTAGTCCTTGTTGGTTGGTCTGGCCTAGTCGACACACATTTGGGTACAGTCAAGCCAAGAGTAGGATAGCTTCCATGTTCAGTGTCATTACTGACCACTTCAGCAGGAAGGTGTGCAACCCAGCAGTTTTCAAGATACAGATAATTGCTGGTATTCTTGTACAGAAGCCCTTTTCCATCCGACATAGTACCCGGCAGCGGCTCGTACCTATGATTCATGCTATTTCGAGGTGAACCGGTACGCCCAGCAGCCGCCACAAGTGCTTTGGTTCAGGGCTTAAAAGTTTAGGGCTGAGGAACTTGACTCTAACCATTTTGCAGAGCTCGAACCCAAACCTATAAAACTGTCGCCAAGGGCAGCCAAGCGTGTTTGTTGCTGAGGCACCTCCTTATGACATCCGCGAACCTTCACGGCAAGCCCTTTACGCAGGCATGCAGGATTCGGAGGCCTCACAAGGTGTGGGATGGAGGTAGGTGGGATTAAGGATCCCTTATATAAGGACTCTTATTTGGGAATATCCCACCTACCTTCATCCTACCTTTTGAGGCCCTCAAAGGATATGTGCTGCAGGGTTGCCAGGCACCCCATAGTGTTCGTCTCCGTGGCCACCCTTTTCCCTGTGGTGCTGCGTTTCTCTCCCCTGAATTATGCGCTGCAAGACTTCAACCATGCACCGATGCCATGATACTCGATCGTACTTTGAGGGTCGAGAGTTCAACCCAGAATCTAGTAGTAGTAGAGTAGGTAACCTTGAACCTTTTTTTGGGTAGTATAGTCCCTATATAATCCCTAGAAAACCAAAAAGGTTAACCTTTAGTTCCCTATGATACAAGAACAAAAAGGGGAAGAACAACTCTTCACGGTCTGTCAGTCTGTACGGCCGGAGGTTTGTCTGTGGTTTGTTCCGTTTACTCCCGTGGCTCGTCCTGCAGACCCGCACCTTCAATAATATACGATCCGATAACTTGTTATTGAAACACTACATTATACAGTATATATACACATATATGCAATGGAATTTGAAAGTGCCCTATGCTTGGGCCATGCTGCAGGTCTTCGACCCGGCAGATTTGAAGCGCTTCAAGGACTTCTTTGTTCACTTACCTTTGGTTAGTAGGGAATGGAAGAATGGTAGGACTAGTAGTTATAACTGTACCCCATTCCTCCATTCCCCACAAACCAAAGGTAACTTCAAGCTGCAGTTTCTGGCCATGGACAAGGTCAGACACGGCCTCCAAGTTCAGCTGTAAACCCGGGACGCCATCCACTGAATCCCAAGAAAGCTTATAGGCACTTAACAAGTGAAAAGCCTGCGAGGACTTTGTCACCGAAGGATCACCGGAGGACAGCGGCACATTAGCTGGACTAGGCTCACGTTGCAAACAGCATGAGGCGCTCAGTGTTCCTACCATGCGATACCGGGGCAAATTTGTTCGGTGATTCGCGAGTCAGGCTTTATGCTGCATTGGGATCCTGCCGGTCCTTGCAGTTATCCAAAGTTTCATCTTGAATTAAAAAACCTCATGCATTCTTTTCAGGACCCGCCATCAAAGGGGAGCGTGCCTTCGTCTCTCCGTGTCTCCTTGGTGGGTGCCGCTAGCACCCGCGTATGCGTGGAGTTGTACCACGTATCGATTTCCAAGTTCCTTGCCCTTGAGGGGTGTGCGCATGCGTCCCGAGCTGCAAATTTCCTGAAATTCTTGGCATACAGTACTCTCATCTTCTTGCCGACTCCGCAAGCACCACCCCATCCAAACTACGCAGATCAGTACCGCTACTGCCCAAGGCTCTATGGATCTCACGATCCTTACCACCTCATCGCTTGGAAGGCAACTCGATGAACCGTCCAAAAAAGTACAGCCTACATTCGATTCAGTTTTTGGGATGAAACTTCTCACTGGTTAGTGGAGGTTGGTAGGTCAACGGGTCGTTATGTTAGTTCTGTTTTGCTACTGTTCCAATATAAGGTTGCTTAATTTAATGGCGGGGGGCTTGGACTTTCCGGACAGCGAGTGCGCGGGGGACTGCCCGGCACAAGAGTTAGCACCGCGACCACCGGAACCACAAGCCTCCACTTGCCATCGCACAGCTGCACCACCCGGCATGCCGAAACCGGCTCCCATCCGCATGTCGTGCCCTCTGACCTCGGTGCTTATAATCTGAGGAAGATGCTGAAAGCCGCGAGCAGCCAATGCAAGCGCGACAGGCATCGGTTGTCAGGGGAACACTTACAGTTTTCCCGCAGGGTTGCATTCAAGGTGGGGTGATTTTGAGGGCCAAGTACCGCTGAACACGCGGAGGTTATTGTGCCGGAGCCTGGATCAACAGAAGCCTTCTTCGTACCAGCACCTGCAAGCCCTTCGGCTATCCTTGACCAGTTTCTTTATACCGTCTGAGCATCGGCCATTTCGTCGCCAGCAAGAAAAGCTCCTAAGAATCAGGGGACAAGTTGCTTTTCAGATTTGGGCTTCAAATCTAACATTACGAGGCGAGGTCATGGTGTTGGTGTTGGCCTTGTTCGCTCAGAAGACTCACAAGCTTTAGGCCGCATCGGATACCAGAGCAATCTGGGATCACGATAACATTTAAAAGCATACCAGGATTGTCAATCGCTTGCTGATTTCCGAAATTTCCAGCATTTCCCTCCTGCCCTTCTGCCCCGGTGAGAAGGATTGTGTACACCCAATCGCTGCAGGAAGTGGCTTGTCCATCGACGACACTCCGCCAGCTGACTCGGCCGGCAGCTGCGCACGAGGCAGGTTTGTACGGTAGCGGTTTGTGATCACGCGGTAGACCGCATGCATCTCACACCGTGAGTTCGTAAATGCTGGGAACCTGCTAGATTCACACGCAATCAGTCAGTCAGTTCAATTCAACAAGCAATCAGTCAAGCAGGCAAACAAGAAAGCCAAGAGCACTTCCGTTCAAATCAAAACATGGCCAGCCAGTCACGTGAAGCCAATCGCATCCAATATCATCCGATCCAAGTCTCCATCAAACAAGCAAAACAACCGACGAGCTAGCAAGCAAGCATGCAACCAATCAGTGCCTGGGTAGATAGCAGCTAGATAAACAGAAAGAAAGATAAACATAGACATAGACACCGAAAGAAAACTAGCAAAAGTATCCTTACTTGCATCCGCACAGCTTAGCACAGGCCAAACCGCAGCAAACAGCAACTCGTCCTTCGCACATACAGCTTTCAGGCTAGTCCTCCGTGCGGGGCGCTGACGGAGCTTTTCTCCCAGATGGCAGATGTGAGTTGCTGGGAGTTTAGAGTCTGTAGGGTCCTTTTAGGGTTTAGGAATGTTGGGTTTATAGGTTTCAGGGATCAGGGAGTCATGGTCATGCTCGGACGGAACCTCACTAGCCCTTGGCATTAACACGAACTTCTTCTTCTTCTTCTGCAGGCAACACAAGCTGGTTGCATTTCCCTTCGTCCAAAAGGGCACAAACAAACCCCGCAACCCTAAGTGCAGCTTGGACGGGCACTAAAAAGGGGCAGAAACACCGGACAAAGCGGGTGTATAGCCACCTTTTTGAGCACAGCTGCACACTCAGTGCAAAGAATGTTTCCAGAAGAAACCATGCGTCTTAAAAACGGCCCCAGCGAACCTCAGCAGCAGCGTGAAAGCAGGGCTTGAAGATTGAACCCAAATATCTGTAGGCAACAGCTTCCGGCCGAAAGCGTTCTCCAGATTCTCTCGCTCCTGACTAAATTGCTCACAGGAGAGCAAGATATGAAACCACAAAACCCCACGGCTGAACCTTCGGCCGCACGCAATGCAATGTAGCGTAGAAGCGCGAGAAACAGCTCCCTGAACATGACCAAGCATTAACAATCCAGCCCGAAATTTGGCCAGAGCCAGGGTGTGCTTGAGCATTTCCCAAGCCAGATCAAGCTGAACCAAGCAAGAGGGAGACGAAGGGAAAGAAAAGTATTGAATCGGCGACCTGTGCGAGGCGACTTCTGACAACCACCGCGTCTGGCACGAGATGGTCAACTGTAATTTGCAATAGTCTCTGTATGCAGCCTGGGTCCGTTGCGCAAGGGGCTGCTGGCAAGACCAAGCCGGCCAGTCAAGGATCCCCCATTCCGCCAAGAGACTCTCGGATCGGCACGCCCAAGATACAGGTCTGCCACTGCAGACTTGAAAGAAAATGCCAGCTAAACTATCTGCTTTTACCTGCCAAAGCCTCGCCCGGGCACAAGCCACGTCCAGGACACAGAGTGCAGAACCAGAGAGACACCAGCCCAACTCAGCAACAACAACTGCTGAGTTCCGCCAAGAATCTGCCCCCAGAAGGATTTTGGCCCACGCAACAAAAGCATTGTCCAGAGCAGTTCTTGCTGTCGCCGAGATACCCCACAACCACCTACCAAACCTTAAACAAGATTCAACCTTCAAATCGAACAGGCATAAAGCATATGGCAGCGGCACAGTCCCAGAAGCTATGAGGCCTCCAAGCACTGCAACCTTAGAGTCCTGCGATGCGATGAGCGCGCAAGCATGACTATGCAGTTCCATTTCTCCATCCCATAGAATGCCCAACCACTTGTGGCTGCAAACAACCGAAAGAGCAACAGGATCCCTTGTATGAAAAGCCTGGTAAAGAAAGGAAGCATGCCTGAAAATATGGTCATGTTGTTCACGGCTTCCAACGGGCAGAATAACAGACTTAGAAACAGTGCAGTGCAGAGATGTCTTGTATTTCTTCGACCAGGCGGCAATGATACGAATCATACGCCTCATTTCCCCCACGCTACTTGCCAGGAAGATTGGGTCGTCTGCGTGTAAGAGAATTGGAACCCTCCATGAATCAAACAGGTCCAGAGCCCGGGCAGCGCTGGCTTCCAGAACGGCATCTGCACTCAAATTTTGCGCAGTGGGCAAGATTTGCCCGGCCCGCAGTGCAAACAAGAGATTCTGCGTGAGGGATGGGTCTGGGGTACCACAACCACTCCAAATGTGGGAGCGCCAAGGAGCTGGCATATCTGCGCGAAATGCAACCCCACACCGTTCCTCCAACAGCATGGCCACCAAAGTGTCAGGGAGAAAGTTAAAGCAGGGGGGGCCAATCCTGCACCCTTCGGGTACACCACAGGAAACCTTTTCCCAAGAGATCCCACTAAAAGGAATGAGCCACTCATCCGAAGCAAGAAAAGAATGAAAAAGTGACATGGCACCGCCTTTAATGTCTGCCGTGTCATGAACAGCATTAGTCAAAAAAGCTCTCCATGTACGAGGAAAAGCTTTCACGAGGTCAGCCATGAAGATGAAAAGCGGTTGTGTGCGAGACAAAAATAGGCTGCTGAGCTCATATAAGCAAAGATGCGGATCAGCCACATCTCTCATAAATCCAGACTGAAAACATGAAATGGCCCCCTGCATGCGAGACTGTACTCGCGAAAAAAGAATATGCTCCTGCAAAAGGCCATGTTGCTGCATCACCGAAATGAGTCGGTAACTATAGGCAGAATCATACCGTCCCTTCTTGTATAATGCAGAAAGTCTCTTCCATCGCCAAACATTTGGACGAATAGCCAAGCAACCCGGTCCACAAAGCCTCATACACAACCAAGCTGAAGTGCTCCACAACACCCCTGCTAATTCGAAGACGCATCTGGGGAGAAGGTCAGGAGTAACTGCAACAGAAGAATCCCAACAACTAGTTCCATGCACCCAGTCAACTTGCGAAATGGGCCCGTCTGCAGCATCGGATCCGACGGCACGTCTTTCCATTCCCAAGATGCCAGCCGCTTTGCGCTCTACTTGCTGATGAAAAGAAATATCCCAACCCTCTGGAATCACGAATTGCCCACGGATAGCCGAAATCCACTGTTGATGGCTGTCTCCTATCGAGAGATTTTCCCCAGACGAAGGATCTGCAAGCTGCAGAGGTGGCGAAGGCAGAACTATGGAGAAAGTGCATCCGAAACAGTGGGAAAACACAGACAGACTATATTTGTAACGAGCATATTGCCACGTGTCGTGGATGTTGAAATGCACCTTGATAATCTTCCGTGGTCTTACTCCAGAGGAGAGTTCTAGACAGGTCGTTAGAACAATAAGAAGAAGTTTTGTGTCGTTTATATCCTTGAATGACGAAGGAACATGAAGAACGTTCTCCAATCTTGTAGGCCAACACCGTAGTTCCGAAGTCTTCCCGCAGGAAATGAAAGATGTTAAAGGGGGTGTCCGCAGGAAAGATGTTGAAGTTTTACATGGCAGATCCCCCAGGCTCTTAGTGCTCTGTGCTCTCAACAGAATGGACGTCAAAGGGCATCAACACCTCAGGTCGAGATGGCTTTGTCACTCTTGGCAGAACGTTTGAGCAGCGGAAACAAGTCGAAATCTTCTGCCGAATGGCATTTACGCCAATGGTCACGCACTTGTATAAAGCAGTCTCAGGCAACGGCCAGTGCTGAGTAGTCAGTCTGTATTGAACTCAAGGTTTGCTCGTCGACACCGCGACCATGCACTACAGCACTCGACAAGTGAACTTGCGATTCCCTTGCCGATTCTACAGCCCACAAACGCATCCTCCACACCTTCGCTCGATGGTTCTTCCAACTGAATGGCCGACGATCCAGCACGAACTGGCGCGCTATGCGCAGGACCAGCAGGAAACTGGGTTCTTGTTAAGGAGTTTACTTTAAGTTACCATCAGATATAGGGATCTATAGTAAATAGTGTGGTTTCGTAATTATGGTATATAATTGAAATTAAACCCCTCAAAAAGAACCAAGTTTAGAACCCTTATGGATCCCTTATAGTATTATGGATCCCTTATAGAACCCTTTATGGATACATTCAGCTCCTTAACAAGCCCAGGAAACCTATGCCATTCAGCCGCGCCCGCTTCCGGCCCTGCGGTGCCGGACGGGCCAAGCATCCTCCAGGTACCGTGTGGCTCAGAAGGCTGGACAGAGCTTCGGATTTGGTAGTAATCGTAGTAGTAGTATTATAGTGATAGTAACAGTTTTAGTAATAGGATTAGTAATAGCAAGAGCAATAGCACTAGCAGTAACAGTAGCAAGAGCAATAGCAATAGTAATAATGATATGTTTCATAAGAAACTATACAGAATCAAGCAAGTCGTGAGACCGAAAGTGCAACGCAGGTGGAGATCTCAGCGCACCGTTCCACGAAGGTGTGGATTCGTTTGGGCAACTTCTCGGAGCGGAGCACAAGTCAGGAGCGTCGAGTTGATAGCCAGCGGACGGCGCGGAAACCTCGTTGTGAATGAAATTTTCCCGTTAGGCGCAAGCTTTCACATGGCCTTGAGATTTGGGCGGTAAATCATAAACATTTTCAACCTCTTAAAAGACCTGACTGAGTGGTTGTATCTATGTGTCATTTATGTTCCGCTCATGGCTACGCCTATGCCGTGGGTCTGGTTTTGGTCTTTCCGGGGGTGTGGGAGTCGAGAGAGACCTCGGCTCTTTGATTGGCCTTGCCTGGTTTAAGAGTTTGCAGCGTCGGAGTCTGATTCCATCTGCGGAGTTTTATCGATAAAACCATCCAGCCTGCCGCCCTGCTAGGGCTAAAAGCCATTCACAAGAGGAGTCCGGAGATTTCAAGATTTCATGATAGCTTGCTTTCCTGGCACGAAAGGAGAGCTCCGAAGCTTTTTGTTTGGGGATGCTAGCTACTACTTTACGAATTGTGGTTGTTGCTTGGGCTTTCTGGTGTGGGAGCACTGTTAACTGGAAAAGTCTGCAGTCCTGACAGGAAGTAGGACGAGTCCAACAACAAACTCAATCGAGGTATCTTGTGGGTACTCAGTGGACCGTACGAACCACGTAAGCGCAAGCTTAGAAGCTTTGTTTATGCTGCGGAGGTTCTCAAGGTTCCTACTCTAGCTTGGGTCTGCACAACTCTTCCCTCCTCAAGCCGGAGACCGTGAAACTGTAGACCGTAAGCTCCCAAGACTGAACCACGCACACCCGTGCAGAGTCCTTGTAGATTGTTGATTAGATTCCTGATAGATGGGACCCATACTTGAACCCACAATAGGAACCCTCCAAACACAGAGCTGGCGAGCTTTCCGGATCCCCGACATCCTGAGATGCCTCGGATGAAAGAGGCATCCTACAGGTGGGGTCACGACGAGATCCTCAAGACCGCAGAGCCTCTCCTTTCAAAATCTCAGGTCCTGAGACTTGCTTTCCTTGCCACAGGGGTTTCTTTTCCAGAGGGAACTGCAGTCTAGGGGTGTAGTTTCCGGATCTTCTTTTGGTGGACCCGGCCCCCTTTTCACGTGTTTATTCTCGAAGCGGTGCGTGAGATGCAGCCGGTGCGGGATGGTCCCGCACCTGTGGCCAAGAGCCCTAAATGCCCCTATCCTGCTTTCCGAGGCTTCATCTCCCATGCACCGACAACCAACACTGTAGGTCGGTGTCTTGATATGTCTTGATGCCGGTGGATTTGCAGTTTATCGAGTTCATGGCTTACTGCCCAGTTCGGCTCAGAATCCCGAGCCAGTCCAAGCTCATTCAGAGGTGTGCTAACGTGGTTATCCTTTTTTGTTTTTGCTGGGTTCCTACTCTAATATATATATATATATATATATAGATATATATATATATATAATAATAATAAACCCCATGAAAGGGCTACAGAACAACCGGGATTCAGAGTTCCGCAATTAACAGCTGCTGGTCTCTTCTCCCTAGTCCGCGGGCAATTAGTCTCACGAGTCAACATGAAGACGGCTAATGGGCTTGCTCTGACTGGGCTTGCACATGTGGGTAGTTGTCAAAATTAAGGTCCCTTTGTAGTAGGTGCCGTATTACAAACGGACCATAATTTCGACAACCATCCATGTGTCACACCTGTGACAATACTGATAGGAGCTATTGTCATCTATTGTCGATGTCAGAAAGTCTTCGTTTCCAAAGTGAAATCTTCCCTGTGTTTCCGATGGTGGAGAAGGGAAGAACCAAGCAGCCAGTTCATTCGCTACCCATTTATTCATGTTTAAAGTCTTCTGGCTAGTCAGTGGCTGTTTGTGCAGCTGCTGCCTGGACAGATGTTCAGCTCCCGCTCTTCCGCGGTTGACATGACAAGCCCGGCTGCAATGATTAATCGTGAGTCCGGAGGTGCCGCTTACAGCGTAGTGGCAATGATCATGTTCCGTTTTCGAAGGCTTTCATTTCACTTCCTCAGTACTGCATCGTCCAAGTCTATTGAGGCACTTGGGACTCAGTTGGCGCATCTTTTGCCTCAAACTGGCGAAGGATGCAAAAAGCGTGCAGCTTCGTGGCTTCGTGTCTTTCAAAGGAACTGTGCCATTGATCTTCTGGGGAAAGGCAGCTTGCTGCTCATTGTTGCCTCCGTCGTGCATCGGTTCGTCGGCTTACGCGTCTTCTCATCTGTTCTGAGATTGCCATGGTCATGGTCCGAGGTCGTATGGTCGTCCTGTAGGTGCTGGCATCCACGCTGTCAGAACCTCTTACGGCTCTTACGTACTGTGGATGAATCCATGCAGACATCCGTCCTTACTACAAGTGCACACCGACGAGCCTGCAATCATGTCAAGAGGCGGACAGACCAGACAGAGACAGAGAGACAGAAATATGTTCATGTGTACATATATATATATATATATATATATATACATATATGTGCATGTATATATGCATGTATGCATGCATGTATGTATGAATGTACATGTGTATATGCATATACATATACATACACACATATGTATATATATATATATATATATATATATATACATATGTTCATTTACCTGTGTATACATGTATATGTGTGTTTTACACATGTGTGTACGTAGGTATGTATGCATGTATACATGCATGTATGTATGCATGTATGTACTAGACGTAGATGTAGATGTGTGTGTGTCTTTATGAGTATGTGTACATGTATTTACGTATGTATGCGTATATACCCTTATTATTATATTTTATATATTTTGAAACACAAACCGTGCACAGACTCTCAGGGTGCGTGATGTGCATTTTGAAACATAGCATGACCTGCAACTGTATTAGCCGATGTTCCTGCATACTTCACAGTGTTGATGGCGAATCGTATGCATAAAGCATAGGAGTGAAAGTGAAAGTGTGTGTGTGTGTGTGTGAAGGCTGAATGCCCAGGCCTCTGCACGTCCCGGCATGTGCATGCACGTATTCTAACTTTCTTGTATGTCTGTGCATGCTTTGCTTGATCAGTTGATCGTAGGACAGAATCGTTGCATAGTGTTTGTGCCGGCAGGCAGTCCAGTGACTTTAGGAGGAGTTTGCCTTTCAGTGCCTGCTGCTTCACTGGAGGATCTTCGATTTTTTCAGACGAGACCGGCCATGATAAACTTACCTTCGGTTAGTAGGGAATGGAAGAATGGTAGTAATAGAAGTTCTAATTGTACCCCATTCCTCCATTCCCTACTAACCAAAGGTAAGCAAAGTGTTCAATTCTTCATTCCGAAACATCTCTACGCCCAGCGATTCGAAGCCCGAGTCCCAGTTCCAGAGATTCCACACCCCAGGCGCGACTCCTTGCAAGTACTACTGCTGATATACATCCTGCATTACCTTAAGGACTTCAAACTATGGGAATTATGGTATTGGCATATTCCGTATTGTGGGTAATGCAGGCTTTATATCATCAACGGTATGTCCCCCGGTACTGCTCTCAAGCCGCCCTTTTTAAAACGAGTATATGGAGAAGAGCATCGTTACAGGAAGCTCGAGCAGAAGCTCGTGAACATCACACTTATCACGGCGTTACGAGGTAGCAATTGATATCACACAATATCAGCATAGCACGAACAAAAGACGAATCGCGGGCAAACTCATTGGGTGGCTAGGCGACACCCGCCGAGAAACGGCCGCCCCCGCAGCCGGTGATTCGGCGAGGCCTGGATTCAAAGAGATCTCCTACCGTCTCTGTTCGAGTTTGTGCCAAGCCGCGAAGGTACAGCACATAAGGACAGCTCGCAACATGCCATATATGTCTGTGGAAATATGTAGTTGGACTCTGAAGCGTAGAGACCCCTAGGCTTGAACTGAGCTTATAGGGTCGAGACACGGTCTGTTGCGTGCAAGCCGCCTACAGGATGTACGTCGCAGGTTATTCTGTACTGTACTTTAGATGCTGTGGTTCTGGGTGCATGTTGCCGAGCCTTGCTAGCGCAGTGTAGTGACTGTCATGGTCATAGTTGTAGGGCTGCCAAATTACACGCAAGACCTCGTATCGAGACTGGCATGCAGCTTTTGCCAAGTATTCCATGCCTATAATCTCGAACTTGAAGGATCCGTGCTGCAGCGTCTGCATACTAGCTGGAATGCTTTACTCAGCAAAGACGGGGCTTACTAAGGTTTCGCACCATGGTACCAATAACATTATCAAAAAACAAATGATGATGATGATGATGATGATGATGATGATAGGTATAGCTCCGGGAATGACATTGATGACTTCTCAGCTCTAGCCATATTGATAGTGAGCATAGCAGAATGACAGAAAATCAAACAGCAACAAGGTGCTTAAATCGATATAGCAGACAACCAGTTCGAAAGCTAATCGCAAAAGCACCATAAGAAACAACATAAATGGGCAACAAGCTGAAGCTACATCATCATAAGACCCGGCCGCGACGACGACAACGACTACAGCGTGAAAAGTTGAAACGGTCAGCAACAGCCAGAATAACATCAACATCAGCGGCGTCTCTGACATGTAAATCATGAGCCGCAGATCTGTAGCAGCATCAAATCGGCCAAAGGCATATGGCACTGTCGGTAGTAGCGATACGTAGTGATAGTAGGCTATTGCTGTTGCTACAATTGCACAACAGCTGTGAGATCATCACAACAACAACAACAGCAACAACACGAACTAGCAGATCAGCATGCCATGGTTGAGTTGGACATCAGGTGGCAATTGTTCACCCCAGTCAAGACACCAAAAGCACGTACCCGTCTACACAGGACAGGCCCTGAAGTCCAAAGCCGTGCAGCCCGGTTGACTCCGCCAGGTCCAATGCTAAAGTCTGCGACGGCCTCGGCTGCTGCACCTCCGCCCCCGGACTTGGACGCCTCGCCCGAGTCCCAAAAGGGACAACATTGCATGCTGTGGCTTCAGGGCTTTGGGATTTATTTTTGTTGTTCAGCTGTTGTTCCTCAAGGGCTACTGCATTGAAGTTTAGTAGAGTTTATGTAGAGGCGGCAGTCTGCAGACTTCTGGGTGTAACCGGATCTCGAGCCGAGGTCTCTTCGA